TTAGAATAAGATCCAAAATAAGCCCCGCACAATAGACGTACCTAAGCAAACCAATGGGAGCAGAGGATGCGTACTAAGTCCTACTTTGCTTAATGAGGAGGAACCACTTGGACTTAGGCAATGCAGGAGCCTCTTGCAGGAACGAGGACTGGTGGTGATGTTGGTGCAGCTGTTACCATCCACCTTATAACTTTTAGCACCATGGCTAGAGCATTTGCTAGGGCTATGGAAGCTCCACGCTCTATGCCTTCATCTGACAGAATGGGGAGACCCCTGTTTAAATCCTAAGGAGAGTTATCTAAGCACTGAGCTATGAGGGAACTCTACAGCAGACTGTCTCAATCTCTTGGGCTGAAGCTGTTCTCCTGCGGACTTAGGTAAATAATTAAAGATATAGGAGCAGGAGGCTGGACCCTGGGTCTTCCACCTCCCAGGCGGATGGTTAACCCTTGAGTCATGTGATTACAAGAGAAAGAATGACTCTGTAGTCCAGTGGTTAGAGGAAAAGCTTCCACAGGGGATATGGAGTGATTCCCTAGATCAGACTATCCAGTAGTGCACTGGTTAGATCACTCTCCTGAGATGCAGAAAGTGAACCCAGATTTGCCACATCCCAAACAAGTACAGATTGGACCTCTCCGGTCTAGCACCCTTGGAACCTGACTGGTCCTGAATGATGGATTTTGCCAGACCAGAGGATGTCATTTATGGCCTCCTGTGACGGGGCGGCCCCGCCCCACATTCAAGCCCAGGGAAACCACCTGGTGCTGGGGGCGGAGAGAGCCACACCCTCACAGCCCTACTGGGCATGCTTCGAGGGGAGCAGAGATATAAAAGGCTGCTGGCCTGCTCAGAAGGGGCAGACCGTGGCTGGAGCTAGCGACCAACTGTCGGAGAGGGAGTCACCAGGACCACTGAACACGCCGCTGCCAGGCCCCAGCCGGGCTTGGCCCCAACGCCGGAGCCGCCGGCCGACCCCCCGTGACCCAGGCACCGGACCGGACACGGCCAACCCCGACGCCGACTGGGGAAGTGCCGCTACAGCCACCCAACCAACGCCGACAGGTGGGACCGCGGCGGGCCAGAGGCTGGGGGTAGGAAGCGACCCAGGGCAGGGAGCTGGAAAAGCCCCTGAGGGCTCAGCACATTGCAGGGAGGAGCCCCCACCGAGCCAGTGGTGGGAGCCACCCGCCGCTCATAGAGCCCTGGGTTGGGGCCCGGTGGAGAGGGAGGGCCTGGGCCCCCCTACCCCTGCTGCCCAAGATCCTGGCGAGTGGGGATAAAGAACTTTGGGACTAGGCATCTGGGCCTGCGTGTTGAGGATTAGGCCGTGAAGCCATATTTCCCCTACTGCAGGGGCAGCGAACTTTGGGACTAGGCCAGTGGGCCATATTACCTCTAAAAAGGGGCATCACGCTTCGGGCCAAGGCCCAAGCGGGTTGGATGATGCCCCTGATGAGGGCGGCAACCCCAGTCGTGGGGGGGGGGCCCTAACACCTCCCTACTAGGCCCTCCACCGCCAGCCTCATGGCCAGTCCCTCCCTCTCACTGGCCCCCGCTGCCCTGTTAACCTCCGCTGTCCTGCTGGGCAGCCCGGCTGCCTACACTCAAACTGGGCTCCCACTGCAGCATCCAGCAGTCTCACCACCTCCACCGGGCTCTCAGTGCAGCATCTGGCAGCCCTGCCACCTCCATGCCCCTATTTCTATTGCCATGCCAGGAAGCCCTGCTGCCCTACTAAGCAGCCCCACTACCATGTGCCCTGCCCTGTTGGGCTGCCACTGCTCTGCCCTGCTGGGAAGCCCTACGGCCATGCATTAGGCTCTCGTTCTTCTTTCAGCCTGCAGGGCTCCCAGACGTTAGCTCTATACTGGGACTCTCTGGTCCTTCCAGACCACAGATGTTGCCAGACCTGAAAGTCCCAGTTGAGAGATTTTCAACCTGTACTCTACCCACTCCTGCCTGATGCTGAATGGGGCCCTATCCATTAGGGCACAGCTACCAAATTGAGCTCTGTATGTGACATGGGCAGACTTCCTCTATCTGAGGAGGAATCACTCTGGGTATGTCTACACTACCCCGCTAGTGCGAACTAGCGGGGTAATGTATGCATACCGAACATGCAAATGAAGCCCGGGATTTGAATTTCCCGGGCTTTATTTGCATAAGCCGGCCGGCGCCATTTTTAAATGCCGGCTTGTTCGAACCCCGTGCCGCGCGGCTACACGCGGCACGGGCTAGATAGTTCGGACTAGCAAGCTATTCCGAACTATCTGTACGCCTCGTGGAACGAGGTGTACAGATAGTTCGGAATGGCTTGCTAGTCCGAACTATCTGGCCCGTGCCGCGTGTAGCCGCGCGGCACGGGGTTCGAACAAGCCGGCATTTAAAAATGGCGCCGGCCGGCTTATGCAAATAAAGCCCGGGAAATTCAAATCCCGGGCTTCATTTGCACGTTCGGTATGCATACATTACCCCGCTAGTTCGCACTAGCGGGGTAGTGTAGACATACCCTCTGAGCTTAGGTGAGAAGATGTTCATCCAGACACCTAAAAGGAGACATCAGGGCACAAGCCTGGAGGCAGAAACAGGTGTTTTGTGAATGTTTACCCTAAAAACGCAGGTGCCCAATAAGTTTAGATGTTTACTGAGTTTGGCAAGAGTTCTGTGGAATGCAGTGGGAACCAAGGCTGACAGCTGAGTCCCAGTTTAGAGGGTTTAGGCACTAAAGTACCTTGATGGATCAGAGACAGGGTGTCCAAATCCCTTACGTGGCTTTGAAACCCACAAAAGTGGGGTTCTCTCATGGGCTTTGGTGATCCAGTGTCTGTTTTAGGATGTTCAGTTGTGTAACAAGGAAAAGTAAGGGAGTGTACCCCGTTGCCAAGTTTAGGTCACTTATTTTTGGCAGGAGTAAGGCTGTTGAAGCAGTAACAGCACCTGCATGATGGTTGCAAATTTAAGTTGGGTGTAAAACCTTTCATGTTATGCTGCCAGGTTTTGAAAGTCCAAGCAATTCTGCGAGTGACAGCTTTCCTGCTGTAATGCATAAGGGATTTTTTTCATTTGATGACACTCCGTGTAAATGCTAGAAAGACTATCTGAACCATGCAGAACAGGGTGATGACAGAGACCATGTGTTTCTTTAGCCATCAATGAAAAGGCTGCACATGACCAATTAAGACTACTTACAGTGTCATACATATGTATAGGAGACAAATCATCCTTCATAAAATCGTAATTTTATTCCATTTCTCCACAGCCCATCTCCCTATTTCATATTTTGGCATCAGAGACCAAATGCCCACTTTAAGGTCCTTTTGTACTACCGGAGCTGTATGAAGTGACCTCCATGTGAATGAAAAGTATGTGTGCTTCTATAGGCCATAAGGTAAATGCAGGGAGCACACACAAATTGGCTCCTTTTGTGAGGGATTAAAAGGAGTTTGATGATGCTGGGCATATAGCCTGGAATGTGGATAAGCTATTTGGAAGGCTGGCATAAGCATAAAACATCTTTTTCTTACAAGTTATAAGCTGAAGCAGTGATCTAATTAGCCTGAGTCCTATCCTGCATATTGGTCTCACAGTAGCCTCAAAATATGCTAGTCTCAGATTGTAGCATTTAGCACTACCTCATACAGAGACGGTCAGAACTATGACTTCAGGCAATAAGCGTATATGGAAAGGGC